AAAGGACAGACCCTCACCTCCTCCCACACCATTTGACTGGAGTTGAAGACAGGCTGAAGGGTCAGTTAGACTAGATGAAAATGCACAAGTGACACCTTCTATGAGGACACAGAAATTGGTTTCTGAGTCGGTTTAACTGATTGCTCACCTGTGTGGCTATTGCTGATGATCTCCCCTTCCTCACAGCACTGGAGATCCAGCTCCTCTCCTTGCCCCATCCAGGAGATCACATTAGCTCTAGAGACTGGAAATCCTGCTCGGAGAGCAATAAACCATGTGCTGATCTTGTTCATTAAAGTCCATGTCATTACTACTTCTAGACCCAGGATCTGACTTACCCACCCAGAGAGGCTTCTTCTCTATCTTGCAGAGACTGGGCTCTGGCTGGTTCAAGATCCCAGGACATACTCAGGTGCATTGTCCCTGCTTGGGAGAGCTGAGCCCTCTGCTGCACTCTCTTGGGTACAACTATGTCTCCCTCCTGGCCTGTTCCATCCCGCCATCCCAGGCCAGGACAGGAAACCACTGCTCAGGAGGCAAGCTCTAGTGAGGGCTTGCAGGTCTGACACTGAAGCCCACAGGCAGGGCTCAGACTGCAGCTGCCACATGGCAGGTCACTAGGAATTGGAGGAAAAGGACCCAGTAGGGTTCTAGCTCCCCAAGGGCTCTGTCCATAAAGCCCCATGCTGGAGGACTTGGCTCAACCTGCTCTTTGGCTCAGATGGTCTACTTGTACTGAAAGGAGGCAGAGCAAGTTGAACAGCTAAGTGAATCCTTGGAGGAAGTGTTTCAGACACTTCCTATTTTCCAGACTCCTGTCCCTAAGTGTCTGTACCTGCATGAGCCCTGCCAGCTGCCCACAATAAATGCTGATCCCATAGCTGGCCATGGCAGCATTTGGCTGTAATGTTTCTCTGGGGTGTGTGTTTGCTGCTGCAGCTGAGCTCAACCTTTGCTGCTTTGGTTCTACTCTCAGCAGCAGCCACCCTCTTTGTGTGGTTTTCCAAACTTCCTCTAGTGGCCACCCTAGCCTGCCATTTGCTGCTCCCCTTGGCTACACAGAATCTACCATTCACATTTTCACATCTGGTGGGCACATTCTTACACCTTTAGCCAGACCCCATCTTGGACCATCATATAGTGCTGGGAAGATCCCCCTGTGACGTTATAGGATTAAAATATGACCCTGTAGGTCACTGTGCTACCACTGTTACACAGTTGCAACAAACCTTGTGTAAATTATGTCCTGTATGGTGTCAATGGGAACATTCTGATGTGGTGACTATGCTTATCCTGTCTGTACGGGGACATCATTTTTGTACCTCAAGTTATGAGTATGGACCATGCACCTGTATTTTAAATATGGTCGCTGTTGTGGAAACACCCACAAAGTAGTTTCTATTCAATCCAGCCAGCACATTGTCAGTGGAACATTCAGATTGAAGATCCATTAACAAAACCCATGGAAATCTCATCATCAACGGACGGACTTTCCCATGGACTTTTCAGCCAGACGGTGGGCAATGCCTGGCATGGCTCATCAGAGCAGACAAGGGCATGACCAGTTCATGTCACACTAAACTCCATCTGGTCCCTGTGCTTTTCAGCTCACAATGCTGGGGGTTATGTTTGGAACAATGAGTTCTCCTCCACATATGCTCCCTGTAAGCTGTGCACACATGCGGCCACGCAGGAGAGATTCACACAACGCACAGCCGGCAGCATGTGCTCAGGTTCCCCTCACCCACTTTGCACCATTCTGCAGCTGCTCCCGGGAGGGACCCTCCTGCTAGCTGTGTCGAGTGTCTGTGTGTGGAGGGGGCGGTGGGAAGGAGGGCAGTGCAGATGCCAGGGTGTCCCCTTGCACCTGTACCATAACTCCGCAGAGCAGAGGGGGGACAGCCTGGCTCATGAAAACTCAGAGCTGGTGCAGTCTGAATGGTGACAGCCTGACTTACTTACAAAGGCAGTGCTCTGCTTGTGAGATGTCCCCAGCAGCCAGCTCACATAGTCTGTTTCGTCTCTAACACACACACACACACACACACACACACACACACTCGTGTCACATACACACTCTCCCACTTCTCCTGTTCTCGTACCACATCAGCACAGGTACTCAGGAACAGAGCAGGACAGCTTGCAGTGTCTTAGAGAGACAGTGCATGACGTTTCCCTGAAACTCACTCAGCAGTAGCCACCACACACACACACACACACACACACACACACACCCCCTGTCACTCACCAATAAATCCACTGTGTCACACTTGCACACACAGGGAGTGTCCCACACACGGTGCCACCCACCAACCCACACACTATCTCTCTCTCTCTCACACATTGTCTTATTCACACTCACCTCACAGCACGTAATTGTATTATTGTTGTTGTTAAAACTTGGCACTGCCTACAATGCATTTATAGAGTCTTTGTCATTTTATTCTTTCCAAGTGCGTACATTTATGTTCTGACACCTTCAGCCAAGGCATAACAGAGCAAGATGGTGGGGAAACACACTGAGACCTTGGCTGTGGGAAGAGCAGCACCACTGTTATGTCCCTTAGCCTGCTTCCCCTGAGAGGGAGCATTGGCCAGGGTGGGGGGAAGATGACAGTCTCCCATGATTATTGGAGGTGATACTCCTGACATTGGGCAGAAGTGGGGGGCAAGGAGGTACCCTGAATCAAACTCAACCCAGCTCCTCCAGAGCCCACCCAGCCTCCAATACACATGGGGATAGGAACCCTTACCCAGCCAGCTCACAGCCTCATAATTCTCCTGCATCACATCCCTGTAGAGAGCTCTCTGACCTGGGTCCAGCAGAGCCCATTCCTCCTCAGAGAAATACACAGCCACCTCCTCGAAGCTCACCGGCTCCGCCACAGCCATTTCCTTTCCCTGCCTCTGCAGGTCATGGGCTGGAGCAAGACATGGGTGTTCTGCAGCCTGTCAGGGGGAGAAGAGCAATTGGAGACATTTCAGAAAGGGCTTTAATCCTTTTCACACCCTCATTCTCTCCAGACTTTTTCCCTGGTGACACACAGTAGACTTGGACATTTTGGGCAAATGCTTGAGTCTATATATTCCATAAAACACACACACAAGTTAGATCCCAAATCTATATAATTTTCTCTTAATATATGGCTCTGAGGTTCAATATTACTCTATCTGCAACAATGGGATTAGGTTCTGAGCACCCAGTGTTTCTTGTAAAGAAGCTGCATATTCATGTCTGAATAGGGATAGAGATGCAGCCATGTTAGTCTGGTCTAGCTGTAACAAAAGACAAAGATAGCTTCCCCAATTATCATCCCTAATGTCATTACCTCACAGACACTAACCTTCCCCCTTCATCCCTCCTCTGTTCTAAAATCTGATTCGTCAATTTTATATGTGTTCCCTTTTTTTTGATTGTATCACTTCGGTATATATGGTCGTGCCAATTTTCTTCCACATATTGATCTGAGGAAGTGGGTCTGGCCCATGAAAGCTCATCGCCTAATAAACCATCTTGTTAGTCTTTAAAGTGCTACATAGTCCTGTCCTTAATATGGATGTAGGTGTCTAAACTTAAGCCTCTAAAACGTCCTCCATTGAACGGCAGCACAGATCTAGAACCTCTCATCAGGGCTAAACCGACACTTTATAAACCCTCTCCACAAGAGAGATTTAGTGAAGTCAAGGGGACCATTCAGATGCTTGAAATTAAACATACATGCTGAATGTTTACATCATTAGATCCTAAGATTCATGGATTCACAGGATCATTATTTCATGTCCCTAGTCTCATCTGTGTCACAAGCCATTGTATCTCATCTCATTACCTCAGGACATATCTTTATTTCCCCAAAGCATATTTTGTAGAAAATGTCATCAAGTATTGCTTTGAAGACAGCAAGAGATGGATGTTACATTGTGGTTATCTGGCTAATTGTGTAGTCGATATTTGTATCGACAACACAATCAGTCGATAAAGGATTGCTCAGCTGAGCCACAGCAGAGGTAGCTCCCGGAACTGGGACTGAGCAGTCCTGGCTCGCGCTGGCTCCAGAAATCACCCACGCTACTTTCTATGATTTAAATGTAGTAGGAGTTGCCAGGCTCTTACTACATTTAAAATGCAGAAGTGCAACTTCCGAGACCTGTGTGAGCTGGGACTGCTCAGACTCAGCTTGCACCCAGTCCAGCAGCCTCTGTTTGAGGTGGCCAGGGCTGGCTACGACCAGGGTCTGTGGCACAAGCTAGGACTGAGCAGTCCCGTCTCGGGTGGTCTGGGGCACTGCGCCTCCGCGTTTGAAATGTAGTAAGAGCCTAGCAGTTCTTACTAATTTAAAATGCAGAGCTGCAGTGCAGGTAGCTTCTGAAGCTGGCATGAGTTGGGACTGGGAGGCATAGCGGAGATGGTGCTAGGGGGAACCAGCTTTTAAGCCTGCTCCCCCCAGCACTGGGTCCTGTTCCCTCCTTGCTGCCTCTCATACGGAGGCAGCAAGGAGTGGGGGAAGTGAATAGTTGAGTACTACTAACATCCCTAGAATCCACCACTTCTTTGATCATTTGTTTCAGCAGCTAATCATCTTCTCTATCAAACATTTGTGCCTCCTTTATTATCTGAAATTGTCTGGCTTCAGCTTTCAGTTATTTGCTCATACAGAGACATTTTCCACTAGACTGAAGAGCCCTTGGGGATTCAGCAGACTGATACAGTGGAAGCCTATTTTTTAAAAACAATATATTTAAACTGAACAGAAAGAACATTGAAATCTCTCATATTTAAGGTGCTGTGACTTGTATGCTTTAACTTCACAACTTTAGCATTATGCCACGCAGACAAG